TGTTTTAAAAAAGCCAATCATACTTTGTTGTTTTTCAAATTCGTGTATAGTGAGTTTATCTACAGAAAGTTTTATATTTACATAGATTTATACAATAGTCTTTTCTCCTTATGATTTCTGGATTTGATGTCAGCTTAGCTATTTCTTGCTCCACTATTAATTGATATTACCCCGTCATATTTTATGTATTTTTGTAGATGTCTTACATCCTTTCTGGAAAATGGAATATAGATTAGTTACTTCACTCCCTGGTTTGCCTCCAAGGTTCTTCTAACTTCATTTCTATCCTCATGCTGCCTGTGTTACTACCCTTTCCTCAGCAGACCTCATTTCCACCTTCAAACACAAAAAAATGGAAGCCTCAAATTCCTTCTCACAACCTACCCCATTCCCCAAAACTTACCTAAAGGTATACCATCCATAGCTCTTAGCCAGGCTAAATTCTCTACACTTAATTTGAATTCCATCCTTTTCTGCCTTCTTGGCTGCTTGCTTAATCATCCCTTCTCTCCTGTCTCTTCAACTTCTCCCTCTCCCTATCTCCCAAGCATATCAAGTTTATCCCGTCTGCCCCACAAAATTGTGTTGCCTCCCTCCATTATTTCTTGCCTTCCTGTTGCAGTGAAACTTCTTCAAAGTACAATTCACACTCAATATTTCTTGTTTTCCAATCTCATTGACAGCTCTCAGATTTAAACACTCATCATTTTTCATCCAAGATACTTCAGACTGACTTCCCACCAAGTCATTGTATATATTTGGGATTTTAAATTTGGTATCCATAGTTGGACTGCAAGGGACCACTAATTTGAAATTTTACGTGTATCAGCACTTTTTTGGGAATAGTTTTTATAAGACTTAAGGAGTGTTATGATCCCAAATGTTACTTTATTTTTTTTAAGATTTTATTTATTTGAGAGAGAAAGCGAGAGAGAGAGCACAAGAGGGGGTAGAGTCAGAGGGAGAAGCAGACCCCCCGCCGAGCAGGGAGCCGGATGTGGGAGTTCGATCCTGGGACTCTGGGATCACGACCTGAGCCGAAGGCAGTCGCTTAACTAACTGAGCCACCCAGGCGCCCCTTACCTATTTTTTTCAATGAAGGCAGAATGACCTTTTATTTTATTTTATTTATTTATTTTAAAGATTTTATTTATTTATTCATGAGAGACAGAGAGAGACAGAGAGGCAGAGGGAGAAGCAGGCTCCCAAGGAGCAGGGAGCCC